AGTAGAAAGTATCTCACAGAAAGAACAGGAAAGGGAAAAGAGGCTCAGAAAGAATGAAGAGGGATTAAGAGAAATGCAAGACAATATGAAACGTAATAATATCCGAATAATAGGAATACCAGAAGGAGAAGAAGAAGAACAAGGGATAGAAAACATATTTGAAAGAGTAATGAGAGAAAATTTTCCTAATTTGATAAAAAAAAAAAAGTCACACAAATCCAGGAATCACACAGAGTCCCATTCAAGAGGAACCCAAGGAGGCCCACTTCAAGACACATCATCATCAAAATGGCAAAATTCTAAGACAAAGAGAGAATCTTAAAGGTAGCAAGGGAGAAAAAAGAAATAACATACAAGGGAGCCCCAATAAGGTTAGCTACTGATTTCTCAATGGAAACACTCCAAGCAAGAAGAGAATGGCAAGAAATATTCCAAGTAATGAGAACCAGAGGCCTATAACCAAGGCTACTTTACCCAGCAAGGCTCTCAATCAAGATAGAAGGCCAAATAAACAGCTTCCAAGACAAAAGAAGTCTAAAAGAATATGCCTCCACCAAACCAGTCCTACAAGAAATACTAAAAGGACTGCTTTAAGGAAAGGAAGGAAAAGAGAGAGAAAGAGAAGAACACAGGTACAAAAATGGCAATGAATAAGTACCTATCAATAATAACCTTAAACGTAAATGGACTAAATGCTCCAATCAAAAGACACAGAATAGCTCCATGGATAAGAAAGCATGACCCTCACATATGCTGCCTATAAGAGACCCACCTCAGGACAAAAGACCATCACAGACTAAAAGTGAAATGCTGGAAACAAATTTACCAAACAAACGGACAAGAAAAAAAAAAGCTGGGGTAGCAATTCTCATATCGGACAAAACAGACTTCAAAAAGAGAGCCATAAAGAGAGACCCAGAAGGTCACTTCATAATACTCAAGGAAAGAATCCACCAAGAACACATTAACATCGTAAATATATATGCACCAAACATAGGAGCACCCAAATATATAAAGAAAATCTTAGAGGACTTCAAGATATAGACAGCAACACAATTATAGTGGGGGATTTTAACACCCCACTGTCAAAAATGGGCAGATCTTCCAAACAAAATATCAACAAAGATATTGCAGCATTAAACAACACCCTAGAGGAAATGGACCTAACTGATATATACAGAGCTCTTCACCCCAAAGAAGCTAAATACAAATTCTTTTCAAATGCACATGGAACATTCTCAAAGATAGATCACATGATAGGACACAAAACAAGCCTCAACAAATTCAAGAAAACTGAAATCATACCAGGCATTTTCTCTGACCACAAGGGACTGAAATTGGAAACCAACTCCAAAGGAAAAAAAACAAAGCACCCAAAATCATGGAGATTGAATGGTATGCTGTTAAACAACAAATGGGTCAAGAATGAAATTAGGGAAGAAATCAAAAAGTTTCTGGAAATAAATGAAAACGAACTTACAACAACCCAAAACTTATGGGATACAGCCAAGGCAGTCCTGAGAGGGAAGTTTATAGCAATACAGGCCTACCTAAAGAAGATAGAAACATTTCAAACAAACAACCTAACCCTAGCCTGCAAGAACTCGAGGAAGAACAACAAACGCAGCCCAGAGCAAGTAGAAGGAAGGAAATAACCAAGATTAGAGCAGAACTAAATGACATAGAGACTAAAAGCACAATTCTATGGATCAATGAATCCAGGAGTTGGTTCTTTGAAAAGATAAACAAAATAGACAAGCCTTTAAGTAGGCTCATCAAGAAAAGAAGAGAAAGGACTCAAATAAACACAATCAGAAATGAAAGAGGAGAGATTACAATTGATACCACAGAAATAGAAGGGATTGTAAGAAATTACTATGAAGAACTGTATGCCAAGAAATTTGAAAACCTAGGGGAAATGAACACATTTCTAGAAAAATATAATCTTCCAAAACTCAATGAAAAAGAAGCAGAAAATCTGAACATACCAATAACAGCAAAAGAAATTGAAGCAGTAATCAAAAAACTCCCATCACGCAAAAGCCCTGGACCAGATGGTTTCACAGGAGAATTCTACAAAGCATTTAAGGAAGAGCTAACCCCTATTCTCCACAGATTATTCCAAAAAATCCAGAAGAATGGAATACTCCCAATTTCTTTTTATGAAGCCAGCATCATCCTAATTCCAAAACCAGATAGAGCCACAACAAAGAAAGAAAACTTCAGGCCAATATCACTGATGAACATAGACGCTAAAATCCTCAACAAAATATTGGCAAATCGTATCCAACAATATATCAAAAAGATCATACACCATGACCAAGTGAGATTCATCCCAGGGATGCAAGGATGGTTCAATATTCGCAAATCAGTAAATGTAATACATCACTTAAACAAAAGCAAGGACAAAAACCACATGATCATATCAATAGACACGGAAAAAGCTTTTGATAAGGTACAACACCCATTTATGATAAAAACACTCAGGAAAGTGGGAATAGAGGGAGCATTCCTCAATATAATACGGCCATATATGAGAGACCTACAGCCAATATCATACTCAATTGGGCAAAAATTAAAAGCTTTTCCACTAAGATCAGGAAAAAGACAAGGATGCCCACTTTCACCACTTCTATTCAATATAGTTTTGGAATTTTTAGCCACAGAGATCAGGCAAGAAAAAGAAATAAAAGGCATCCAAATCGGAAAGGAGGAAACAAAACTGTCACTGTTTGCAGATGATATGATAGTGTACATGGAAAATTCTATAGACTCTACCAAAAAACTGCTCGAACTAATTAATGAATTTGGCAAAACAGCAGGATACAAAGTCAATATCCAGAAATCAAAGGCATTTTTTATACTAACAATGAATCAGCAGAAGCAGAAATCAAGAAAAGAATCCCATTTGATATAGCAAAAAGAAAAATAAAATATCTGGGAATAAACCTAACCAAGGACATAAAAGACCTGTATGCAGAAAACTACACAGCACTGACGAAAGAAATCAGGGAAGACACAAACAAATGGAAACATATACCTTGTTCATGGATTGGAAGAATTAACATCATCAAAATGTCCATACTACCCAAAGCAATATACAAATTCAATGCAATACCTATTAAAGTACCAACGGCATATTTCACAGACATAGAACAAACACTTCAAAAATTTATATGGAACCACAAACAAGCCCGAATAGCAGCTGCTATTTTGAGAAGAACAAAGTAGAAGGAATCACAATACCTGATATCAAACTGTATTACAAGGCCACTGTAATCAAAACAGCCTGGTACTGGCATAAAAACAGGCACATAGACCAATGGAACAGAACAGAGAGCCCAGAAATCAACCCAACTCACTACAGTCAATTAATATTTGACAAAGGGGGCAGTAACATAAAATGGAGTAAAGATAGCCTCTTCAACAAATGGTGCTGGAAGAACTGGACAGCTTCATGCAAAAAAATGAAACTTTGGCACAAACTTACACCATACACCAAAATAAATTTAAGGTGGATAAAAAATTTAAATGTAAGTCATGATATCATTATAGTTCTAGAGGAAAACATTGGCAGAAAAATCTCAGATATTTCATGCAGCAACATTTTCACTGATACGTCCCCTAGAACAAGGGACATAAAGGAAAGAATAAACAAATAGGATCTCATGAAAATAAAAAGCTTCTACATGGCTAAAGAAAACAGTATTAAAATAAAATAAAACCAACCATGTGGGAAAACATATTTGCCAATGATACCTCAGACAAGGGTTTCATCTCCAAAATATATAAAGAACTCATACGACTCTACTCTAAGAAGACAAGTAATCCGATTAAAAAATTGGCAAAGGACTTGAACAGACACTTCTCCAAGGAGGACATACAGAAGATCCAGAGACACATGAAAAGATGCTCAATTTTGCTAGCTATCAGAGAGATGCAAATTAAAACCAAATGAGATACCACTTCACACTGGTCAGAATGGCCATCATAAACAAAGCAACAAATGAGTGTTGGAAATGTTGTGGAGAAAAGAGAACCCTAGTGCACTGTTGGTGGGATTGCAGACAACCACTATGAAAAACAGTGCAGAATTTTCTCATAAAACTAAAAATGAATATGCCTTTTGACCCAGCAATTTCACTGCTAGAATTATATCCTAAGAACCCCAAAACACCAATCCAAAAGAACCTATGCACTTCGATGTTCATAGCAGCACAATTTACAATAGCCAAGGGCTGGAAGCAACCTAGATGCCCATCAGTAAATGAATGGATCAAAAAAACATGGTACATTTACAGAATGGAATTCTATGCAGCAGAAAGAAAGAAGGAGCTACTACCCTTTGAGACAGTATGGATGGAACTGGAAAGCATTGTGCTGAGTGAAATGATCCAGGCAGTGAAAGACAAATACCATATGATTTCACTTTTAACAGGAACCTAATCAACAAAACAAACCAACAAGCAAAATATAACCAAAGACACTGAAAATGAGAACAGGCTGACAGTGACCAAAGGAGAGTGGGGAGGGAATTTCAGGGGGAAAGGGGAAAGGTTTGCTGGAATATGTATAAAGGACACATGGACAATAATAAGGAGGGGTGGAAATGGGAGGGATATATGGAGGGCTAGGCTGTGGGCTGGGGTGAGGGTAAAAGGCAGAAAACTGTACTTGAACAACAATTTAAAATTTTTTTAAGTCTGCTAATAGGAAAAATAGATAATTCTGTTCACTCTGACTTAAGGTCTTCATATGGGCATAAAGTGAAGTAAAGTGATTCTTCATTTGGGGAAGTCTTGGAATGCACAGTATCACATCTTCCTATGTAAAAAGCATTTAAAATCGCCAGCAAGGAGGCTTCCAGTACAAATACTTGTTACTAAGCAAATCCTTAAAAAGAAGAAGTGCTGTCTCTGAGAAGTTAATTATTGGGCAAATTTGGGGAGGAAAACACCCAGACCAGAAGTTTCCTAAACCACCTCCTCCAGGGTACAAAACATACTTAAAACAGGGAGTGTTTTTAACACAGAGAGACCAAGATCAGACGTCCTCCATGGCTGGTGTCTGCACCATGAGAAACAGATGTCTGAGGCTGCTGCCAGGTAGGTAGAATTATAACAGTGACAATAGGCAGTTAAAGCTATCTGGGAACTCTCTACCCAGTTTGAAAATATTCCCTGTTCTTCTTCATATCTAGCTTGTTTTCTCACTGTTTTTATAAAAAAACAAAAGAAAGAATTTTTAAGAACGGTATTAGCTCATTGGTATTAACTCTCAAAGGAAAAGTCAGTGAAAGTCACTCCTAGGGGAAGGTGGGGATGTAACAGAGAGTTCTGATTTTACTACCTGTATTACTAGTTTAGTTCACCAGAGAAACAGCCAACAAGGTGAACAGGGTATGGATTTAAATCGCCATGCTTTACATTATATCCCCATGGATTTAAAAGCGTTGGTTCATTAAATCTGTAGGACAGGCTGGCAGGCTGGGAACCCAGGGAACACTTCCATGCTGAATTCAAGTCCAAAGTCAGTCTGGAGGCTGAATTCCTTCTTCCTCGGCGGGGGGGGGGGGGGGGGGGGGCAATCTTTTTTCTCTTTCACTGATGGGATGAAACTGACCCAGATTATGGAGGGTGATATGCTTTATTCAAAGTCTACTGATTTAACTGTTAATCTCTTCTAAAAGGAAAAAAACCTTCACAGCAAAATCTATCTACGCCAGGGTTTAAACAATTATCTGTGTGCTTTGGCCAAATTGGAAAATAAAATTGACTATCATACCACTTACATTATTTTTTTCAGAAGAACAAACAACAAAACTATCTGAAAACTCTACAACACTAAGAAAAACATCATCCTTTAGCCTATAGGTTTTGTGAGGGTCATGGAATGATTTAAAGGGCAATAACAGTGAAAGAAAAAAACAGTATTGGTGAGATCAGCTGAATTCTGATCAGTGTTTATTTCCTTTAGTGCTTACATGTTACCTAGTAAGTTAGGTGTTCTTTACATATTGTCTTCATTAGTTGAAATTTGTTTCCTGGTTTTTATAAAAATAGCCACATTTCTTATTATCTGAATTTGGAACATTATTATTCTAATGCTGAGCACGTTTTGGGAAAATCTTGTAATGACTCACAGACCTAAAAAAACTCATGAGTTTCACGGCTCATGAAAATGGACACAGACTCTAATAAGTGGTCTGTTCACTGCCTGTAGGGAACCTTTCATTCCTGTGCACCTGTCATGGCTTTCACACCACAGAGGGCAAACAAGGGCTGGGCCCTTGGTGCAGGACAGGGGGTTAGGAGCTCATCTGGAAGGAGGTATAGAAGCCACGATGCTGTACCTGGAGAGCCCACTGACCCCAGTGGCTCTACCTGCAGGAGCCTTAGTTCTCACTCCTCACCTCTCATCAGCTCCCCTCTCTCAATTCCAGGGCTCAATGCCCTGCTCATCACCATTTGAGAACTCAAACTTTAGGCTGTCTGACTCTAGTACCTATGCTATCTTTGTATACTCTGAAACTGTATGGTAAACGGGAGAAGTGATCATGGAAGAGAAGTCCTCAAAGCAGATTTCTGTCATTGCCAGAGAACATAGAACCTGGGTCTAGGAAAAGGCGCACCAATCTGAGGAGTTTCTCCTTTAAGATGTAGCACCTCCACTGGAAGATAGTGGAGTGTCTAGGATATGACCCTGTTACCAGCCGTCTGTGTGCTTTTTGTCCCTTTACCTGTAATGTCTGGGGTTCCGTGAGGACTAGGTATGTTAGTGACTCCTCAGGGAGTCTTGACACGTGGAGGGGAAAGGCCTATTTCTCCATTCCCAGTAAGGTCAGGAGCCTCCAGGAGCTGCTGGGAGCTATGGGCTGCAGAGCCAGAGCCACCTACTAAAGGGGCAATGGCTGTGCTGACAGGGGTTGATACTGGAACTTGACTTTCCTCCACTTTGTCATCTCTCTGTCTTTCTGCCCCAGGACTCTTGGTGCTGCTGCTGTTGACACGAGGAGTGGCAGCCCTGAACCCTGGAGGTGAGTCTCCCAGGCAACCCATTAGTGAAATAATCTGAGGAGTCATGCTGGAGTCTGGGGCCTCTCACCAAACAGTAAAAGGAAGGAGGCTTCTTCTGAAAGTGAGGAACAGAGATGGTCTTGTGGAGATAAGAGTAGCTGTTTCTTCCACCCTGCATGCCCAGAGTTTTGTGCCATTTTCTCTTCCAATGGCAGCCATCTCTTCCCTTCCTTCCCCTCCTCTACTGTGGACCCCTGGCTTGCAGCTGGCTTCATCCATTCCTTGAGCCTTTGACTATGGCCACCATTCACACTGCCTTTGTCCCCACACCCATGCTCCATGGACCCCTCCAAACTTTATATGTCAATTCCATCACATTCCCAGATTCAGCTCTTGACCTGGGCACCTGTCAGGTTGAGAAAATTCCCATCCTCGTTGTCCTCCCATTCCATACACCTTATTCTCAAGTCTCCTCCACTCAACTCCACCCCATCCAATCAACCTTTAAGACAGATCTCCAGCCATTGCCACCACCTGAGCACAGAAGAGGAAGAAGCCCCATTACCCAGGAAGGGACTAAACATGAATTCCCTCGGATGTCTATCCCTCCTGCTTCCTCTCATGTGCTCATGCTGAAACCCACAGCCTGGCCCTGGCACTTAGAAGGAAAATGTGCAGGTGCAGAGAAGAGAACTCTGATCCGGGGAGACCAGTTGCCTGCCCTGACTCATCATGACACTATGAGCCTTTTCAGGCTCTAAATGTCTTTGGTATAATTTCACCTATAAGTGGAACCTAATCAACAAAACAAACAAGCAAGCAAAATACAACCAGAGACTGACATAAACAACGAGCTGACAATAACCAGAGGGGAGGAGGGAGGAGGATTACTGGAGGGAAAGAAGGGATAGGGTCATCAAGGAACATGTATAAAGGACCCATAGACAAAGCCAAAGGGGGGCAAGACTAAGGATGGGGGGTGGGGGTTGGTGGGATAGGGGAGATGGTTGGGGTGAAAATGGAGACAACTACACCTGAACAATAAAAAAATATATATTTTAAACTGAAAAAAAAGATAGTGAAAAAAAAAAGTCTTTGGTCCCCTAACTGGAATGTATAGGACCATACATTCTTCCCTGTATTGTGATTCATTCTTGTGTTGCTGATTCTTATCAAGCTGCTGTTGTTTAAGCCAATAGTATTCAGCCTCTGCTCTGGGGGTCTCTGAGCTATTCAAAGGGGACCTGGGTCATTGGCATCTGTCTCTCTCATGTTTAGAGAACAGGAGGTAAGATGCCAGAAGCCCTGCTGAGCAGTTTTGTGCTGCTTCCTCATTACACATCTACAATGGGTTCCAATAAGGGGTAGGACTAGCGAGACCCCCCCCAGAGACAACTTGAGGCATCATGAAAAGGCCCAACATTAGGAGCTGGGGGAGTGCCTGACGAGGGGTGTGGGTTGTGCTTGGACCACTGTGGGATGGAAGCCATCAATGGGCAGGGGTTCAACCACCTGGCTCTAGCCTCAAATGTGAATGATGATGTCACTCTAGAGATACCCCAGCCATGACTCTTCCCATTATCTCAGCATCAAAGAAGAACTTCAATGCCATTGTCATACTGACTAGAGCCCACCCCTAAGTCCCCAGTGGTGCTATTTGGAGCTGAGTCAGTGTTTCCGTGTACCCCTCAAGGCCTGGGAAAGGGATGGAGACCTCCTCCCCACCCCATCATGAAATAGCAGAGTGTCTGAGTATAGGTGCCCTCAGGGCAGCCAGACAGCAGAGATGAGCAGACAGGTCAGTGGGCTCTGGAGCAGCTGGCTCTGACCAGCCCAGCCCCGAAAGTACCACCTAGGAGCTACTTCTTTTCTGTCCCCATGGCAGTCACACTGGAGGCCAGGATTTCTGCCCTGTGTAAACTCATGCTTTTTGGAGGTGACATTTTACCTTGTTGTGTTCCAGACACCAATGAATGTGTAGAAAACTCAACGGCATCCTGTGGAATGTATTCAGAGTGCGAGAACGGAGAGGGAAGCTACTGCATGTGTAGCCCAGGATATGGGTCTGTTTCTGAGGCAGGGTTCAGGAATGAGAGTGAGAACACATGTGAAGGTAAGGACACTGCATCTTCTGTTTCCTCATCTGTGGTGTTTGGGGCTACTCACCCTACTTTCCTCAGGCATCAGAGGACTGTCCTGGGCATCTGCCTGGTGTCCCAACTCCAAGGCTTCATGCCTCACACAGAGTCTCTGTTCCACAATTTTGGAACATCCCCCTTGTATCTTATTTTAGTAAAACAAAGAAAGGGGTGGAATTCAAAATAGTTCTATAACTTATAGTGCACTGCATTTCAACGCAATATTCCTCCTCTTCTTCATTAGTGACTGTCAGAATTAGAGCTTCCCTGCCTGGAACCCCCATGGGCTTGGCCATGTGAGGAGCCCTCTCAGACCCAGGGCCATGATGAACCCCGGAACCCTGAGCAGAAATGTGAGAGTGGAGAGATTGGATGGGGGGGGTCCTACCTTATTCAGTCTGCCTTGCCTCTGGCCAACAACCCCACCTGGAGAAGACACCTCCTGGCTCCCTGACCTGGTTCGTTGGCTGCTAAGCCTCTAGCTATTTTCCCTGAACTTCTCAACAATTCAGCTCATGGGCCTGTGGGCAACACAGATGAGGGAGACCCAGGAGGACATTGTGTTAGGGGTGGCAGGGGGACATGGATCACACCACATACACTCAAGAGTAAGATGGATGGAAGATGCTCCCATCTGGGCTAAACAGAAGAGAAGGCATCATTGTCCCAGGCTGGACCCTTTCCCAAGGAGATCAGCCCAGGTCCCATGATGACCCAGGTGATACAGGGACAGAGACGAAGGCTAAGCCCCACTCAGCAAGGCCAACAGGACTGCATCCCTAATGAGAGGCCATAGGCTGAGATGATGATAATGCCTGCCACCCCTCCCCACAAGCACATGATGTTCCCTCCAGCCATCCAGCCCTCACCCAACGCTAGCCTTGCTCAGATGTAGATTCTCACCACTTCCTGCCAGTCCAGGGGATGTGTTGTAGTGATCAGAAAAGCAGCTTTATAACACCAAGTCTGCAGGACTGGATGTGAACCCCCCCCCCCAGTTCATTGCAGCCTCACACTCACTGTCTTAGTGGCCCTTGCCTGTCTGGCTTATTGGTCACTCTCTACACCCATCTTGTAAGTCCCTTGAGGTGCCTATGTCAGAAGTCATTTTTGGTCCAGTTCCAAGAGTGGCAGAACTCTGCCTCCCAGAGTCTTGGGGATTTCCAGAACTCAGGCAGTGATCGACTTCCCTGGGGGAGGCAGGACGCAGGCCATCACTTGGGAGCCAAGATGGGTACTGCCCTGGGAACACGGCATTTCTTCTGCACTTGGTTCCAGGAAGACCCACCTTGGCCTTTGTCCAAATCCTCAAGCTGGGATTAAGGTGGCCATAATGTCCCCACCCCACCTGGGAGCTGCCCAGGCAAGCTGAGGGTAACAGGGCTGACAGGTGAGGAAACTCGGGCCATTTTTAGCCACTTCTAGACAATGCAGCATTGAGGCCACCCATTCACCGATAGGGTGGATGCCTCCATGTGAATAAGAAAAGGCACCTACTCACTGGGGAAGAGAGAGTAGAGTGAGGCTTTCACAAAGCAAATCTGTGCCATTGCCAAAGAACAAGAACTTGGGTCTGGCCAAAGACACACCAATCTGAGCACTTTCTCCTACAAGATTTATTTTCTCCATTGGGAAAGTTGAGAGTTTCTAGGATGTATCCCTGTCAGCAACAGTCTGTGTCATACGTTTAAGTATGACCACACATATGATTGTGGTCCCATAAGATTATAATGGAGCAGAAAAATTCGTATCACTTAGTGACATAGTACCTTGTGGTAATATCACAGAGCAACACATTACTCACCTGTTTGTGACGATGGTGCAAACAAACCTACTGCACTGCAGCCATGTAAAAGTATAGCACATACCATTATATAAGTACATTATACTTCATAGTGATGATAAACAACTGTTTCTAGTTACAAATTTACTAGTCTATAGTTTTTATCATTATTTTAAAGTGTACTCTTTCTACTTATGAAAAAAATGTTTGCTCTAAAACAGCATGCTGGCAGCAGCCTCATACATTTCGTGTTCACAGTTTCCTGATTGCATCATCGGCTCTGTGCTTGATTTAATCCCATGTTTTGTTCATCATGGCCCCTAGGTATAGAGGATTCACTGCTCATGTTGTCAGTAAGAGGTCACCCTGAGTGACAGATATGGACATGAAATTAAAAGTCAGTAAGGACTAGGAATATTGAAAATCAGTGATGGTCATTGTTCACCAGTCAGGCTTATCCCCGTCCGCCGTGGCTATGATCTTAAAGGGCAAGAACAATGTGATAGGAGGCTGTCAAAGAATCTGCTTTATTAAAGGAAACAAGACTAACAAAAATTCAAAAGGGCCTATATTAGATACAAAGAAACTTCTCAAGACTTGGTTTGAAGACCAGACAAAAAATCTATGTCTCACAGCACTCTGATGTTCATGGACAAGCAAAAACTTTGTTTGCAATGTTGAAAGAAAAGGCTGGGCTGGACTACAGTGTTAAATTTACTGTCAGTTCTAAGTGGTTTAAGTGCTTCCAGAATCATTATTCATTGTGTGACGTAGAAGTGAGTGGTGAGTCTGAGTGCTGATGTGAAGGCAGCTGAAGAATGTTTTGGAGACTCCAGATAAACTGACGGTGGAAGAAAATTACCTGCCAGACCAAATAGGCAAAAAGGATGAAACCTCCCTGTTCTGGAAATGAATGCCTGAAAGGACATTTATCCATAATGAGGCCAAGTCAAGGTCAGGGCTCAAGGCTTTTAAGGACAGGATAAAGGTCAGGACCATGCTACAGGCTACCAATAGAAACCCTGTGTGACCTGTCAGTGAGAGGACATCAGGCCCTTCCAGCACAGCAGTCAGCACACACTGCCAAGGCACTGCAGGGCTGTAAGAAGTCACAGACAATCCAGCCCCTCTTTCATGACTCCTTTGTAAATTGCTGTGCCAGTGAAATGGAGGAGTAGGTTAGGAGAATAGTGCTAAAATAGTAACAGAATTTAAGGTTTTGCTTATTGTTGACAATGCTCCTGGACATACCATATTTTGCAGTGTATAATGCACTCCCATGTAAAATGCATACCCATGATTTTGACCCAAACTTTCAGGAAAAATACCTTTTTATTTTAATTTTTAATTCAATTTTGTATATATTTATATTTAGAAACAAAAGCAATTATTGCATTCCAGGGTATCATTTTGCATAAGGATATCCTTATTGCTTTCTAGAGTTACACTTTTAATGCAGAAACATAAGTAAAAGAATTAAAAACATTTATATAGATACAAATTAGTAGTACCTATATATAATGTGCTTCCTTATTTTTCCCTCAAAAATTTGGGCAAAGAAGTGCACATTATGCACAGTAAAATACGGTACTCCTTTTAATGGTGATCTTCTTTCTAATATCAGTGTGGTATTTTGTCTCCCAACACCACCTCTTTAATTTAACCAATGGTTGAAAGAGTTACAGCAGCTTTTAAGCCTTGCTGCCTGAGGAGGAACTTTGCCCACGTTATTGCTGCAGCTGAGGAAGACAGTAAGGAGACACTGACGCAACTGTAGAAGGGTCACAACACCTGTGACTGCAAGAACCTTGCGTGGGCTTGGGGTGATGTCACTAACGAGTGTATGAATGGCATGCGAAAGAAGACATCAGGAGGTTCGTGTATGACTTCAAAGGACTTGCTAAGAATGGGGAGGCTGCAGAAATCAACAAGGCTGTGAATGAGATGGCAAACAACTTAACCTGAGCGTGGCAGAGGAGGACATGGGGGAGTTTGGAGCTCCTAGAGGTGGGTTCCGAGAACTGACTAATGAGGGGTTTGGGGAACTGGAACAGGAATGCAGAGCTGAAGAAGAGTCAAGAGAAAAGGAAGTGGAAGGAAAAGAAAAAGAAGAACCCCTAAGAAGATTTACATAGAAGCATTTAGCATAAGTTTTTACAGATCTCGACATGCTTTTTAAAAATCTTTGAAAATATGGACTCCCAAGACCAAAAGGCTTTCACTGATAGAGAGGAAAGTTCATGGTGCAGTTTCCGCTTCCAAGCAATCTGTGATGAAAAAAAGAAACAAACCAAGCAAGTCACTGTGAACATATTTCTGAACAGAGTGACTCCTCCTCCAGAAGAGCCTCAAGAAGATCCTTCAGGAAGTGTTCCTGAAGACATTGTTACTTTAGGAGATGACAACTCCACCTCCCAGTGGGACGAGATGAGGAGACAGAGGCAGTGATGTTGATGATCCTGACCCTGTGCAGGCCTAAGCTAATGTGTGTGTTTGTGCCTGAGTTTTTAACAAAAAAGTTTAAAATTTTTAAAAATGATTTAAATAGAAAAAAGTGTTTATATAATAAATATATAAAGAAAGAAAATGTTTTTGTACAGCTGTACAATGTGTGTGTGTTTTAAGCTAAGTATTATTACAGATAAGCCAAAAAGATTTAATAAAGTAAAAAAGTTACAGGAAGCTAAGGTTAATTTATTGTGAAAGAAAGAAAAATTTTATCAATGTAGTGCAGCCTAAGCATACAGTGTTTCTAAGTCTGCAGTAGTGTGTGGTGATGCCCCAGGCCTTCACATTCACTCATCACTTACTCACCGACTCACCTGAACAACTTCCAGTCCTGCAGGCTCCACCCATGGTAAGCGTCCTATTCAGATGTACCATATTTTAAATCTTTTATGTCATATTTTATCATACCTTTTCTATGCATACATCAGTTGAGACACACAAACACTAAGCATTGTTGCCTCCATCTTAACTGGCACATGATTGTATTCTGTCCCCATACTTGTGCCACCTGAGGTTCCACGAGGAAAAGTGTGGGATAGAGGGAAAAGACTAAGTATTCAATTCCAAGTAAGCTACAGGAGCCTTGGGGAAGCTGCTAGAAAGCTGTGAGATGCAAATCCAGAGCCACCTACTAAGGAGGCAATGGCCAAGTGTACAGGGCTTGAAATTGGAGCTCAACTCTCCTCTCCTTGTCACTTCTCTATCTTTCTGCCCCAGGATTCTTGGGGCTGCTGCTGTTGGCATTGGGATCTGCAGACCAGAATGCTAAAGGTGAGTCTGCCCAGCCAGAGGTGTTAGTGATGGAAGACAGAGAGTGCATGCCTTTCACCAACAAGGGGAGAAGGGAGGATATTTTGCAAGTGAGGCTCAGAGATGGTCCTCTAGAAATGTGAAAAGCTATCTCTTTTTCCTTATATGTTCAGATTTTTTGGAGGTCTTCCACTTCTAATGACAACTGTCTTTCTCCCCCAACTTCTACTCTTGAACCTCCAGCTAACAGCTGGCTCCCTCCATTTCTTGGGCCTTCTGACCCTATCCCCACATCCTCTGCCCCCCCCACAGCCTCTGCCACCACAGCCTCTGACTCCACAGCCTCTGACTCCACAGCCTCTAGCCCCACAGCCTGTGCTCGCTGGTGCCCCCTGCACTCCACATGTGTCAACGCCACTGCCTGTCACTGCCTTCTGGGATTCATCTCTTCATCTGGGGAGATCGTCACCAGCCCCATGGAGACTTGTGATGGTACAGAGGCTTGAGGGGGTGGAGGGCATACAGTGATTGTGGGGGGAGGTTGTGGGGCATCCAGAGCCCTTGTCCCTGAGAGCAGCACAGGAGCACTTTGTCAAGGATAAGAGAGGTGGCAGGGCAGGGAAGGAGGAGAGAAGTGGGCAATCAGGTTTTCATGATCAGTAGGTAAGTGCTGAGAGCTTACACAGTGGAGCTTGGTGGTGTGGGTTCAAAGTCTAGCTCTGCCACCAACTAGCTCTCTGACATTAATGAAATTATATTTCCTCTCTTTGCCTCAGTTTGCCTGTCTGTAAATTGGGGATAATCACTGTACCCTCCCTACATACATGGAGATTTAATATTTACCTGTGTAAAGAACAGGTAAAGACTTGTACAGATAAAACTCCCAACAAATGCAAGTTATTATCACTGTTATTCTTATTACCACTGCACAACAAAAGGGAAGAAATAATGGAAGCAATGTGACGAGAGGAACACCAGTGCCTGGAACCTCAGGCTCCCCACCAGCTCAGGCTCACCAGGAATCCTGCCCACTCATGATCATGGTTGCCCACTCAGACCCAAGGCAGCTCCTTGATTCAGGAAGAACTAGTTGGTTTTCTTTCCAAACCATTTTTCCAACCCCTCACTCCCTACCTCGGCAAACCACATGTGTCTATGTGTTAGTTTTTTTAGATCCTACATGTGAGATTATATAGTATTTGTCTTTTTCTATCCTATTTCAGTTAACACAATGCTCAAAAAAATGTATCCATGTCGTTATAAATGACAGGATTTCCTTCTATTTTATGGCTGAATAATATTTCACTGTACACACACACAACATCTTTATTATCTATTCACTCATTGATGCATGCTTAGGTTGTTTCCATGCCTTGGCTATTCGAAATAATGCTGCAATGAACATGGGTATGCAGGCATCCTTTTTAGTTAGTGTTTTGGATTTCTTCCAAAAATAAATGCCCACAAGTGGAATTGCTGGGTCATATAATAGTTCTATTTTTAATTTTTGAGGCACTTCCATACAATTATCCATAATGGCTGCACCAGTTTACAATACATTAACAGTACACAAGGGTTCTCTTTGCTCCACATCCTCACCAACACTTATTATTTCATGTTTTTATTCATAACAGTCGTTATAAAATGTTTGAGGGTACAAATATTTTATTATGGTTTGGTTTAAATTTTTTTTATTGATGTCCCAATACAGTTGTCTCCATTTTCCCCTGCTCACCCACACCCACCTCCCACCCTCAATCCCACCCCTCCTTGGCTCCATCCATGGGTCCCTCATTCAAGTTCACTTACGTCCCTTTCTCTTTTTTCCCACATTACTATGGTTTTAATTTGCTTTTCGCTAGTGATTAGTAATGTTGAGCAACTTTTTATTTACCTGTTGGGCATTTAAATGCCTTCTTTGGAAAATGCCTACCTCATCCTCTGCCAACTTCTATATTGGATGTTTAGGGTTTTTTCTATAGAGTTATATGAGTTATTTATATGTATTGAATGTTAACAATTATCAGATATATGATTTGCAAATATCTTTCCACTAAATTGTACATTGCCTTTTCATTTTGCTGATGGTCTTGTTGCTGTGCAGTTCTTAATTTGAAATACTTCTGCTTGTCTATTTATGTTCTGAAGTCAAACCCAAAAAATTATTTGGGTTTTTTTGTCGAGTAGCTTAACCCTCATATTTTCTCCTAAAAGTCTTATGGTTTCAGGGTAGCATCCTTTTTTAAATGATCATAAGTGAGCTCAAGAGATTGAGTGATTTATCCAAAGTCACAGAATTAATAAGGTGGTACAACCCAGACGTCAGTCTAAAATTAAAGAATTTTTACTCTTCAATAGCACAGCATCATCAAAGGAACTTATGTTATTAAAAATGGTTACAGTAGTCTTCCTGGCTAATGTGGCTCAGTTGGTTGGAGCGTTGTCCTGTAAACGAAAAGGTTGCAGGTTCAATTCCTGGTCAGGGCACATGACTAGGTTACACATAGGAAAAGCAACTGACTGATGTTTCTATCCCTCTCTCTCTCTCCTTCGTCTCCCCTTTCTCTAAAATCAATAAGCATGTCCTCAGGTGAAGATTTTTTTAATGGTTACAATAGTAAATTTTATGTTATGTGCACATTTTACCTCAACAAAACAGGAGTGAAGGTGGGGAAGGAAACTACATGATGTTTACACCAGGAAATACCACTGATATACTCAAAATGGTCTTAGGTAAATATTTACTGCTAATAAAACACTCCTAATATATTTGAAGCAATGAGAAAAAAAATTCCTAAAATTTCCCTGGACTCTTTGTGGTGGACTCATGGGTAATTATTTTGTCTTCAATTTTTATGTTTTCTTGGTTTTCCTAAGTATCATGTTGTTATTTAATATTAGGAGAAAAGGTTGTTTTTATTTCATTATTTTTCAAGTACAGTTTTCTGTTTATTTCTCCCATCCCAGCCCATCCCGCCCCATTCTCCCCACCTCCCTCCCATTTCCACCACCCTTAGTTCTTGTCCTTGTGTCCTTCATACTTGTTCCTCCAAATCCCTCCCCTTTTTTTCCCTTAAATTCCCTCCGCTCTCCCCTCTGGTCACTGTCCCCCTATTCTCTATTTCGGTGTCTTTTGTTTTGATTCTGCTTGCTTGTTTGTTTTGTTGTTTAGCTTCCTGTTAAAGGTGAGATCATATGGTATTTGTCTTTCAACACCTGGCCTATTTCACTCAGCATAATGCTTTCCAGTTCCATCCACGTTGTTGCAAAATGTAGTAGCTCCTTCTTTCTCTCTGCTGCATAGAATTCTATTGTGTATATGTACCACGATTTTTTGATCCATTCATTTACTGATGGGCACCTAGGTTGCTTCCAAATCTTGGCTATTATAAATTGTGCTGCTATGAACATTGGGGTGCATAGGTTCTTTGAAATTGATGTTTTAGGGTTCCACGGATATAATCCTAACAGTGCAATTGCTGGGTCAAAAGGCAGGTCAATTTTTATTTTTCTGAGAAAATTCCATACTGTTTTCCATAATGGTTGTACCAGTCTGCAATCCCACCAACAGTAAACTAAGGACCCCTTTTCCCCACAACCTCTCCAACATTTGTTGTTTGTTGCTTTGTTTATGAGAGCCATCCTGACCAGTGTAAAGTGGTATCTCATTGTGGTTTTCATTTGCATCTCTCTGATGGCTAGCGATATTGAGCATCTTTTCATGTGTCTCTGGATCCTCTGTATGTCCTCCTTGGGAAAGTGTCTGTTCAACTCCTTTTCCCATCTTTTAATTGGGTTATTTGTCTTCTTAGAGCGAAGTCGTGTAAGTTCTTTGTATATTTTGGAGATTAAACCTTTCTCTGTGGTATCGTTGGGAAATATATTTTCCCATACAGTTGGTTGTCTTGCTAGTTTAATGCTGTTTTCTTTAGCCATGCAGAAGTTTTTTATTTTTATGAGATCTCATTTATTTATTCTTTCCTTTAGATTCCTTCCTCTAGGGGACATAGAGTAGATATGTTGCTGCGTGAAATATCTGAGATTTTCCTGCCCATGTTCTCTTCTAGGACTTTAATGGTGTCACTGCTTATATTTAAGTCTTTTATCCACCTTGAATTTATTTTGGTGTATGGTGTAAGTTTGTGCTCAAGTTTTATTATTTTGCATGTAGCTGTCCAGTTCTCCCAACACCATTTGTTAAAGAGGCTATCTTTACTCCATTTTATGTTACTGCCCACTTTGTCAAATATTAATTGACTGTAGAGAGTTGGTTTGATTTCTGGGCTCTCTGTTCTGTTCCATTGGTCTATGTGCCTGTTTTTATGCCAGTACCAGGCTGTTTTTTTTACAGTGGCCTTGTAATACAGTTTGATATCAGGTATTGTCATCCCTCCTACTTTGTTGTTTTTTCTCAAAAGTGCAACTGCTATTCGGGGTCATTGATGGTTCCATATAAATTTTTAAAGTGTTTGTTCTACATCTGTGAAATATGCCATTGGTACTTTAATAGATATTGCATTGAATCTGTAAATTGCTTTGGGTAGTATTGACATTTTGATGATGTTAATTCTTCCAATTCATGAGCATGGTATATGTTTCCATTTGTTTGTGTCTTCCTTGATTTCTTTCTTCAGTGCTGTGTAGTTTTCTGCATACAGGTCTTTTACCTCCTTGGTCAGGTTTATTCCCAGATATTTTATTTTTGTTTTTGCTACATTGAATGGGATTTTTTCCTTGATTTCTGCTTCTGCTGTTTCATTCTTGGTATACAAAAATGCCTTTGATTTCTGGATATTGACTCTGTAACCTGCTGTTTTGCCAAATTCATTAATTAGTTCGAGCAGTTTTGGGGTAGAGTCTATAGGGTTTTCCATGTACACTATCATGTCATCTTCAAACAGTGACAGTTTTGTTTCCTCCTTTCCTATTTGGATGCCTTTTATTTCTTTTTCTTGCCTGATCACTGTGGCTAAAACTTCCAATACTATATTGAATAGAAGTGGTGAAAGTGGACATCCTTGTCTTGTTCCTGCTCTTAGTGGAAAAGCTTTTAGTTTTTGCCCATTGAGTATGATGTTGGCTGTAGGTCTTCATATACAGCCTTTATTATATTGAGGAATGCTCCCTCTATTCCCACTCTCCTGAGTGTTTTTATCATAAATGGGTGTTGTATCTTATCAAAAGCGTTTTCCGCATCTATTGATATGATCATGTGGTTTTTGTCCTTGCTTTTGTTTATGCGATGAATTACATTTACTGATTTGTGAATGTTGAACCATCCTTGCATCCCTGGGATGAATCTCACTTGGTCATGGTGTATGATCTTATTGATATATTGTTGGATGCGATTTGCCAATATTTCGTTGAGGATTTTAGCGTCTATGTTCATCAGTGATATTGGCCTGAAGTTTTCTTTCTTTGTTGTTGCTCTATCTGGTTTTGGAATTAGGATGATGCTGGCTTCATAAAAAGTTTGAGAGTTTTCCATCCTT